TGTTAATATTTTGAATTTTCTTTGTGCAGAAAGATATTGGTTATGAAAAATGGTCGAGGGCTTACATGACAAACAACAGATTTTCTACAATGACTTCAAACATAGTTGAATCGGTAAATTCGGTAACAAAAGCAATGAAAGGTTGTCCAATAGAGCCTTTATTGGAATCGTTAAGATATTTGTTACAAGAATGATTTGTGAAGTATATAAATGATGCACGAGCAACCTTCACAATACTTGTCACCAAGCAAGAGAAAAATCTGAGAGAAAATTATGTGGAGTCAAAGGAAAATGAAGGTAAAAAGTTATAAACTTGCTGTTTTGTTATTGCACATCAAGATTTCTATTGTAACATGATTTGTATCCTCTATTCATATTGAATTTTCACTTTAAATCTTCCTTTCATATAAAATAGTGACAAATTTATTGATAGATTATTTTGTTATATTATGCACATAGGTATCAACTTCAAGTTCAATATTGTACCAAGTTAATGATGGTTGTGCCTCATATTTGTGAACATGGAAAAAAGAACATGTACATGCAACCAATTCCAAGTGGACAAGATTCCATGTGCAAATGCATTTGCGGTTATTGCAAAGATAAAGGAAGATTCATATTCATATTGTTTAGTATTTTATACAACTCATATTGTTCAGTATTTTATACAACAAATATGTATATTCAAACATATAGTGCATCAATTTTTCCATTAGGAGATCATAATGAGTGGAATGTATCAGATGAGGTAAGAGTAAGAATAATCTTGGCTCCTAACCCAAAAAGAAAATCTGGACGACCTAAAAAAAAAAAGAATACCATCAAAAGGAGAGAAAATTCAAAGTGCAAAATGTGGAAGATGTGGAAATTATGGTCACAATAGTAGATCATGTCAAAATCCACCAAAGGCGAAAAAGAAACTACAAAAGAAAAGGAAGTTAGAAAATATATGAAACTAGATTATTTGATATTTTTTGTTCTGTTCGTTTTTCAATTCAAATATTCTAAGAAATGCAAAAATACTTTAAGCAAAATGTTGATTTTGAAATTTATTATGTATGTGAATTTGTTAGAAAAAAGCGATTGTAGAAATTGATGGATTTTGTTAAAAAATTCTTTGTTTTATGTATGTGCACGTGACAATGTATTCATACTCCATTGACATTGAACCCACATTCGATTCATTGACAAGTGATATAATGTCACTTTTTTAACAAAAAAGTGACATAGTGTCACTTTTTGGTTAAAAAAGTGACATAGTATCCCTTTTTTTGTTGAAAAAAGTGACTTTATCATTTTTTTTGTTGAAAAAGGTGACAGTATCACTTTTTTGACATACAAGAAACTATTGTGTTTAAAACTATAGTCAGGTAACATATTGTTAAAAATGTGACATTATTCCTTACTCCATTAATATTTAAGAGTGTTCAAAATTTCACAAAAACTCATATTTAGAAAACATACTTATTGACAAATAATGTCGCTTTTTGTTAAAAAAAAGTGACGCAGTGTCACTTTTTTGTTAAAAATGTGACGTTGTGTCACTTTTTTGTTGAAAAAGTGATATTATGTCACTTTTTTGACATATAAGAAAATATTGTGTTTAAAGTATTAGTTAGGTAACGTATTGTTAAAAATGTGACATTATTCCTTACTTCATTGACATTGTAAGTGTTCAAAAATTTACAAAAATACATCTTTAAAAAGCATACTTATTGAAAAATAATGTCGCTTTTTGTTAAAAAAAGTGACGTAGTATCACTTTTTTGTTAAAATAATTAATTAATATTTAATTTACTTCTTTGTTGAATTTATTTCAATTAGTTATTTATCATTTACTAAAATAAACAATATATATAAATAATTAACATAATTCATGAAATATTTAAATAAACAAATAAAGTATAAAATAAATAATTATATATTAAATAAATAATATACACAAACAATTAAAGTAATTACTTAAAAATTTAAATAAACAATTAAATTAAATATTGATTTATTGAATTACTTATTTAATATTTAATTTAATTTTTTATTTAAATATTTCATTAATTATTTTAATTGGTTATGTATATTGTTTGTTTAATATTTAATTACTCTATTTAATTACTTATTTTATTTGTTTATTTCATATTTATTTACTTCATTTAATTATTTATATTAATTGCTTATTTATTATAATTGTTTATTGAATATTCAATTGTTTATTATATTTATTTCATTATTTAAATTATTTATATTTTAAATAAAATGAAATAAAAAACAATTAATTATTTTACTTAAATAAACAATTTAGATAATTCATGGAATATTTATAATATAATTAAATTCAATATCTAAAAAAAATGGCTGGCACTGGCCAATCCAGATGGCCCAGATGGCTGGGTCGTCTGGATCTGACTGGTGGCCCCTGTCTGGATCCAGACGGCCCTAGATCGTATGGACCCAACCGTCTGGGCAGTTTGGGTCGTTTGGATCTAGACGGCCCAGCTATTTGGATCTAGATGGTGACGTCGTGGTCGTTTGAATCATCTGAAAACTCAATTTTCGACGAGTTCCGTTCAATTTTTTTTTTCACTTTTCTTAACTAATTCAACCTCAAATTCGACTTTGCCTTCTATTTTAACTATAAAAATTTGTATTAAACTCATAATTTAACATATTCAAATGTTAAACATTCAAATTTTTATGTATTCAACTCAAACATTCAAATTCCCAGATATATTAGACCTCAATGGTGAGTAAATTACAAAGGAACAAATCTAATCTATTTTCGGCAAATGGTCGAAGTGGGTCCGTATGTGGTGTCAGTGATTCCCTTCTCTTAGTTTTCTCTTTCTCCTCTCCTCCTCTCTTTATTTGGGGGCATTTTCGACCCTGAGGGTATTGTTTACATTTTCATTGTTTTTAATGAGAATTTTTGGATCAAAGGCCATTTTGAAAAAATGGAAAAATAAGGC